TCCTCAGTGCTGAGCCCCTGTGGGAGAGAGACCTTCAGCTGTAGTGGTGTGAACCTGCAAACCTGCAGCAGAACTGCAGTCACTTCAGGACATCTGTGTAGACAAAAAACCGTGACAAAAGATTACCATGAGCACCAAGTGGTGGATGGGAGCAGGCAGGTGGCAAATCTACAATGTGAAGGTGGGGAGAAGAAACACAAGCAGCAGAGTTTGCTGAGTGCTATTGTGAGGTGTGGAAACAGCTTTTGTGGGAGCAGTGTGAAGCTTTTGGTTCTGCATCAGGCCATGGTGAAACCACTTTGCAGAAATGTGTGGGAGGGAATTAAAATTGCAGATTTGCTTCTGTTAAGAAGAGAGAGGCTGTGTTGGCATCTAAGATTAAAGCAGCATCCCCACACTAACAAGCAATGAAATTCACAAAATACTAAACATATCCAATTATTTGTCACATATTGATTAATCAAGCTTTTATTAGAAGTGACATGCCCAGAGGAAAATTTTTGTCCTTTAAAATAAATATGAGAGATTTTCTCAAACTACATTACAGGAAAGGGAAGTGGTTGTCTTCGTATTATTTAAAGTTCTCTGYATGTYACTAGGTTTGKTTTTTTTTYMAWTTTTTTTTAATTTCCCCAGAAGACTCGTGACTACATTTTGTAATTACAAGACTGGGATTTGAAATCAGTAACCATTCTCTTGAAGTTTCTGAGTGACATAATCTTCTAAGAAACAAAAGCAAAATGCGAGGTAGAAAGCTAGAACAGCGCAGTTTTACAGGTACTGCTTTCAGTATTATTCCAAACTTCTCTGGTAGTGAAGCATGGGGATTCAGACTGAGGTGCACCTTGTGTTTTAGAAGCAGCTGCAAGCAGTAGTTGGGGGAGTGTTTCAGATCACATTCTGATCACATTCACAATCCAGCTTCTTTCCAGGCACCTGCGAGTCAGGCAGTCTCCTGCCACCCTCCAGTGGTTTTCCGAGCACAGCACAAGCTCCCGCTGAATCCGACACGTTCGGAAAGCTGTTTCAGAAAATAAAAAGGGGGCTGGGGATGTTCCAGGCTTTCGCTGGGGACACATATTGTTACACTTTGGATGAGTTTAGTGGGTTGTGTAAAAGGTCTTTCTGTTTTGTTAGATGTTATAAAGTGGTTTAGCACACCTGTTCTSTGAAGCATTATAACATTCATGTGGTCGCTTGCATTTGCAGGACACGGAACCATCTGCATCTGTGATGATTTGCAGTCTGTGTTTGTATTGCTGCCAGGATTGAGGGGTCTGTGGGTGCTGACAATTGGGTGTACAACAGCGAAGGGGTGCTTTGTTGGCAGCTGGGCTACAGTTTTTCTATTCATTTAGTAACTCAGTAATTTGCAAGTCATTATAAATGACTCCTCTGGCTGTTGGTCTTCCATTTCTTTCTCTTTACAGTCTCTAGAGCACCTTAGGAGCATTAACAGCTAAGTTTTCAAGGAAAAATGCATCTGTGTACTTAATTTTGTGCTGGTTTTCTGTTCTTGGTGGCATTTGATACTCTATCYGTGGCATGTCACAGTGCCATCGACCTGATTGTTGTATTTTCTTGRAGATCACTGATGAAGACAATAAAACATGACGCAATTAATTTTTATCTTGCTACTGTGAATTTGGAAAGCCATGAAAACTGCAAGAGCTTCAAAACACAGCTGGGATGAATTTATCAGAGCTGTTATGGAGGAATTCATGTGCTCTGTGACATGTAAGGTAGCACCTGCCAAACTTCCCCAACAACTTCAGGCTGCACCAAGTCCTGGACTATAAAGCCCAGTAAGAAGAGGCTGATGCTTTCATTTCTCAGTATATTGTCTCATCCTTTGTTATGGATTTTCAAGCAACTTTTATTTCACACARCTGTGCTTTTGTCTAAGCAACTCCATGCTAAAACTAATGGTTATTTTTTTTGTTATAAGCCTATTGCAAAAACCTAAAATAGGGAATTGCACATTTCTACTGCAAGCCAACGTAAATTGCTGGCTCACTCATTTAGCAGAGCATGAYAGTAGTCACAAAGTACTCTCAAGACAGGCAGGAGGACAAGGCAAGGCAGGCTGTCATGTGGGAGAAGAAAAGGAGGAGGAGGCAGAGTCCAGCAGGCCTTGGCTTGCTTTCTGGCTGGATTTGATGATGGGATGTTAGCAAAAAGGTCTGCTTTAGCCCATTTCTGCTGGCTYCCTCTCCTGATATGCCTTTCTTGTAAATCTCAGCGGAGTTCTGTGAGCTTGTACCGTTATTTACCTATGCTGCCTGTTGGTTGGTTGGTTTTCTCTGGGTTTTTTCCACCTACAGAATGTTTACATTTTGGGACCAGCATTCATCTTTGACTGGGCATTCAGACCAACATTAAGGCTTTTGAGTATGTTAGAGAGTAAAATAGCAGTAATGAGACTGCACATAAAAGTGACAATGAAAATTTTGCTGAGTCTTCTCTCCAATAGACCAAATGGTGTAGCATCAAAGTTGAGATGACAGACAAAATCTGTTTTAGAACAAATTATATTTTTAATGTTCTGTGTTGGTCTCTCACAAAACATCACAGGTAAGTGAAGGGTTAAGGTAAAACCCTTTCTTCCATCTGGACAAAATCAAGGTTTTTTTCTTTGGAAAGAAAGTCTGTTGCAAGACTTGAATTGAATTTTCACTGCAAAAAGGATGAAAAGTCTCCAGGTCAAAGGCTGTGTAACCTGGTGAGTGTAATGATATAATACTGCAACAATGCCACAGACTGTCTGGTCTGACCATGGAATATTATCTACATGAACTAGGATGAATATAAAGTTTGGGGGTTTTACTACCTTAAAAAAAAGTTAATCCTTTTTTTAAATCTCCCATTTTTCCAGACTGCCATACAAAACCCAGCAAGCTTAGCTCTCACTCCAGAGATGTATCAGAAACTGAAATGAAGTCTCAGCTATTAAACAAACCGATGTCTCTAGCTCTTTGTATATTACTCAGGAAATATTTTCATTTTTCTAAAGTTGTTTGTGCTTTGTGTTCACAAAGGGTGATCAGCAGGTCAGGGRAAGTGATTCTCAGGAGACCCCACCTGGAATGCTGCATCCAGCTCTGGGATACCCACCCAGGATATGCTRGAGCCAGAAGAGGCCACAAAAAATGATCAGAGGGCTGGGGCACCTCTCCTGTGAGGAAAAGCTGAGACAGTTCGGTTTGTTCAGCCCGGAGAAGAGAAGGCTCCAAGGCCTTATTGCAGCCTTCCAAATGGGGCCTGTGGGAAAAATGGAGCAAACTTTTTTTAGAAGGGTTTGTTACAGTAGGAAAAGGGGTAAAGATTTTAAACAAACAAAAAAAAAAAGTATCTAGAGTACATGTAGAAGAAACTTTTTATGATGAGAGTGTTGAAACCGTGAAACAKGTTGCCCTAGGAAGTGGTAGATGCTCCATCCTGGGAAACATTAAGGTCAGGTTGTGCTGGGCTCTGAGCAAGCTGGTCTGATTGGAGATGTGCCTGCTTATTGCAGGGGGGCTGGACTGSATGACACTTAAGGTCCCTTCCARCCCAAAATATTTTCTGATCTATAAAATTTTGTCAAGGGCTAGAAAATATTCTATAGATTGTGTTTTAAGGCAACAAAGCTTGAAATGTGCAAGCTTTAACTGCCATTAAAGACTGAAACTCGTTTGGCCTGATATATCCTGCTCTACAAGCAGGATCAAGTATTTCAGAGGGTTATTCCTCTTGGTGACGAGGCACTGACCCTCCTCAGGTTTTACTGCAGCTGTGCTCCTTCGAAATGSAATGTGACAGAAAAGAGTGTTCACAGTAGAATGGCCACCTTGGTTCAGGTTAAAGGCTAGACATCTAGCTTGGATGGCATCTCCAGCCCTCGCCTTAATAAATTTAGAAGAATTTGTTATTTCCCAGAAACAAAATTTAAAAAAAATAAAAATTCCCAAACAGTGAAACCAGCTAACAAAAACAAAACAATACAAAAACGTGAACAAGGAAAACCAAGCCAGACTCATAGGTCGGCAGTAAATGTCCAGCACGGCAGTGCTCTGCAGTGGCCGGGGCTGCTGTCCCAGCTGGAGCAGGTGGCAACAGTGCTGTGACACTGAGCTGAGCACAGCTCGGTCTGGTGTTCACAGGACCACAGGGAGGTGGCACTCGCGTCTCAGCGTTGCACTGCTTTCCTTACTCAGATGCCAGTGACTGACTCCAAGCTCATCCATCGGAATTGAGGCATTTTGCTTTCAAGTGCCCTATTCTTTCCTCTGTTTGCAAAGGCAAACGTTTTAAGAGAGAAGAGTTTTGGTTTGAAGAAGTGCTGAAAAAAAGAATTGTGTCACAAGTGAGATTAAAAATAAATAGCCTCAAGGGGTGCATTGYTCAATTGCAGAGAATAGCCTATTTCATCTTAAAATAGCCTTGACTTAAGCCAGGATTTAGTGCCCTAATTCACAGACACGTGCCTGCAAGATCCTCCTTGCATTACTGAGGCTATTTGGCTGCTATCATATATGATCATTTCCATGTAATCATCTTTTTGAGTTTATTGAATTTATTCCTCAATGCAGTTGCATTTCCTGTGMTTTTGTTTTGTGGGAAGACTGTTACATAACTGCATTCCTCTATTTTATTACATATTACAAACTAATGCTTGGGCTTTTTCTTCTCTCATCACCAGAAAAGCAAATTTAAAGGAAATATTCATCTTTTAACCTGTCTATTACCATGTTATGGCTGTACTGTAATGAAATTACTTCAGATATAATTCACAAGCAGAAACAGAACAGAGCTCTTCATTCCTCTGAATCTGTGAAAATGAGATCATTGGGAATTTTACAGGGACAACACACATTCCTGTAATGTGCATTACCAAAACCAAAGGATTTGTTAATTTTATTATCACTTGTGGTTTTGGTAGAAAGAGCCAAAATGGCCTAATCAGTTTAGGGTAAAATTTTAGAAGTCAGATCTTTTAATTACTTTTTTTTTTATTTCAGTGGGAGAAACTACAGATGACAACAAGTGAGAGGAGAAAAATCGTGTGTTCAGTCACATTCCATGTAATTGCAATTACCTGTGTTGTTTGGTCATTGTATGTTTTAATTGATAGAACTGCTGAAGAAATTAAACAAGGCAATGATAATGGTGAGTATATTTTACGTTCTTTGGTGCTGTTGATAATGCAATATCTGGCTTTGAGAAGCAGCTCTGTAACCAGTCACAGCCTGTTCTTAAAGAACTGATACATGGCTACACTAAATGCTTGATTCCAGTGTCAGTATRAAAATCTTATCCTATGCCCCTGCAGACAGAACCCTACTTGGTGTAATCATTACAGCAGCTTAACTAGCCTGCTGTTCTTCCTGGGTTAATCTCCCATTATCTAGGTAATTCTAAAGCTCAGGCAAAAAGATGAGTCAAGTTCAAACAGCTCAGTGCAAGTTCATGTCATTAAAATAGCAATTTATTCTTATTACTTGAACCTTGATAGGAAGCAAAGCACCATAGAGCCTCTTCATTAACAAGCTTCCTAATATGAACTTCCAAGAGACTCTTTTCCAGTTGTATTGGTYCTTCATGTGAGACTTGAGTAGCATGGAAAGCCATTCCTGTGTTCTTTCAAATAGAATTTCCATGTTCCAGTTGTATTTATTGGTTAAACACTGGAMCAGCGAAGTCACAGAGCCTCCATCTGCAGAGATACTGAAAATCCAACTGGACATATGTAACAAAWTGCATGTTGAATATAAGTAGGAGCCATACTTAGCTTATGTGGAAATTATATCCTAAAYTGAACTACTGTTTTCCATTTAAAATCTAAATTTATTTCATCTTAAATTTAGTCTTAAATGTCATCATGATGATAAAAAGCTTTTGAGTTTTGTTCTGAATTGAATTGAAGCACCTTAGAGGAACARAGGTCTCTAGCTTTGTGTTACATTYTGAAGTTAACATGGAAAACAAAACAGGTGGAGCTTTGTGCCTTGCTAGTTAGATAAATATTTGATGATACTCCTGATGCTTGCCTTTCTTGCCTCACAGAGGAAAATAAGCAACAAGCCTCAGTAAGTCACAGATGAGTACACACTACAAAGTCTTGTTTTGCATTCTTTCGAGACGGGTAACCTTGTTTTTTATCTCATAAAACCTGGAGGACAGTTCTAGAAATGGCTTTGAACTTCTTAGTACAGCTAYATCACCCTACTCATTACAAGGGGAAAGTTATTTCTGCAGATTAGCTGAATTTACATAATAAAACAGCTAACAGGGATTTTTGTTGTTACACACAATGCTAAAAAATCAYGTTAATTATTCCTGGTAGGCTCAAAAAGTATTTGTGATTTGTATAGCATTCAGTGTTTGCCAAATGTAATGGCTGGTTCTTTCCACTAAAAATGGACAAAGAGATGCCCTGGAGCTACATACAACATGCAAAAGTAAGTGTTAGTCAGAGGATGCTTTTATCCTCAAATTTGCTTGTTGCAGGGGAGAGTACTTCTACAAAAGCAAACATATTTGGGGGAAGTAAGAAGGACCTATATGTAGTTTGCTTTCTCCTCCAATTTCTCTCTTTAAATGGGAAGTGCCAAGACAAAGACAGTAACACTGGAGAAAAAAAGTTTATAAGCACATTTTGAGAAGGAGAAAAATTGAAAGCCCTGAATGATACTAGTACTGTTTGTTAGTATTCTGTGAGTTTAAAAAATCCAATTTAAATGGATGTCTCAAATTATTTAAAGAGTTGGGTTATTTTTTCTATTTTATGGAAGTATATGATGCAAACCTTTTAATTGCTAAGCCTGACACTGGTTTATAGAAAAGCCAATTTAAAATACATTTAAATATACTAGCATTTGTATGGCACCTGTGGTAGGGAATAAAGTTTCACATAAATTTACTCTGCTTGAAGAAATAGGTCTGGGTTCGGCTGAGTTTTCTCTCTCCTAATAAAGATCGAGTCTGAAAATGGCAATCCTGGACAAAAGGAGATAGAAAACTCTCCATTCCATACCAGTTAATAAAAAAAGATGCTTCCTATATTACCACAGAAGCAGCAGAAGCTGCATATCTTTAATGTGGAACAAACCCTGAAGGAAAGCTTTTGAGAGYAGCGTTGAGTTTCTTATTTAACAAAATGGTGGTAAAACCAGTTAGAAGTGGGAAGCAGTTTCCTATTCCATATGGAATAGGAAACCCAGTCTATTTTTCACTTGAGCCACAACTGCCCAATAGCATCTACACACCTGGGCATTCTTAGCAAGTGGCTTTTCAATATATCTTACTGAAGCTCAGTGCTTTATATTCAATATATAACACACATTTTCTATTTTAAAGGTGTCCTTGAGTGGCCGTTTTGGACAAAACTCGTTGTGGTGGCCATTGGGTTCACAGGAGGCYTGGTCTTCATGTACGTGCAGTGTAAGGTTTACGTGCAGCTGTGGCGCAGGTTGAAAGCCTACAACAGAGTGATCTTTGTTCAGAACTGCCCAGACACCATGAAAAAACTGGAGGAGAAAAGCTCTCCGTGYACTCAGCCCTCGGAGGTGAAGGATKCAGTGGTGGTGCCGGTAGCACAGACAGGTACAAACTCTCAGCCAGCRGCGGAAGAAGCGACATCAGAGGTCATGCCAGTTTGACACGGACAGCGTTGCTTCTTCCTTGCAGAGTAAGCCGTAGTGTTTGCCACACTACAAATGCTACAAGAAAGTAGAATTGACTGTGCATTTTTTCAGTTAAAAAAACCCAACCAAACAAAAAAAGAAAAAAAAAATAATTCCCCATACAAAAACCAAAACTGCTCCAGGAAAATGGATCCAGCAAAGCAACTTGTTACTGTATGGAATGTGACCGTTCGTGACGTAGTTTCGCAGCTAGTCAGCAAGTGTAGTGAAAGTGGAAGTGTAGAAAGTGCAATAGAGAACAGGTTTAACAGACAATGCCAAACCGATGTCACAATGTACTTTTTTTTTTCTTTCCTGACTGGGCTGGCTGGGGAAGTAGAAACAGAACTGATACAATAATCTTGTTTACAGAAGACACAAAACCTTTCGTCTGTTTACTACTAAAAGCTGTGTTTGCTATTTATCTTTTCAAAGATATGCTTCAAAGGGTACCAATCCAGTTATATGCATTGACAGAATCAAAGTACAGAGCTGTATTGCAGCACTTACTCTCACCTTCATGGGACTGTAGTGTGGCCTGAATATTTGGGCAGCTGTGTCARCTATGAATATTTGAACCAGTTGTTTTTAACAATGGCTGAATTTTTGAAAAGTAAGCAGTTCCAACCAGTACAAACTCATGTCTCCATAAGCTACAGGTAGTTCTTTTAAATGTACCCATCAGTGAAGTAAGTACAGGAAGGAGAGAATATGCAGATATACATTTAGAAGAGCAGCTCAACTGTTTTATTTTACTTTTTAAAAGTGAATTAGACATAAATTGGAATACGTGAAGTATTGAGGCAGAATTGTAAATGAAAGAAAAAAAAAAGCAGTTCACTGCAGAATCACACAAAAGTAAATTGCCTGTTATCAAGGGTCTGAAAAAGGATGACACATAGTGATGATAGAAGCTATTTTTGGTTTTAGTTTTAAGGATTCATGGTACAGAAAGATAGATTTAAGACAACATACCTACCTGCATATCTTCAGAAAACATTAGTTTTTAATCTCCTTGTTCTAAAAAGTTAGTTTTTATTTTCCTGACTGAGAAAACAAATCAATGGTTTCCTTCTGTACAGGTAAAGTKAAGGTATTAGAGATTCAACAGTTTAGTTGTTAACTTTGTGTTTTGAGCACTGGCATATAAAAATGAAGTGTGAATAGCATTAAAAGGTGCAATAGATAAATGAATGTAGATATAAAACTGTATCCAACAGGGTGAATTATACATAATGAAGCAATTCTGTGATTCACTTTGCAAAGCTGCRGTGTTTACTACAAGGACACAAGAGCCGTATTGACTTGGAGTAGTTATGTATCAGTGTGGACAAACCTCGGGACTGAACATAACGTGTATTAAAAAAAAAAAAAGATTTAAGTTCTTTTTTTTAATCTAGTATTTAGTAAAGGAGGAAAAGCAAACAAGCAAATAAAGAACCAGAGTAATGAGGACAGGAGAGTACAGATTTACTTAAAGGAGGGGTATCTTYCACAATTACTAGTGAAATACAGTTCTACAGAAGCCTTGAAGTTCCTACTGGTAAATTTTCTCTTGATACACTCAAATATTTACAGTATAATAACAGAATCATCCTATTCTTGCAAATATCCAGGCTGCTGGGCCTAAGATGTATTGGAGTTCATATACTAAGCATTCCTTTGTGAATGTTTACTGGCTTAAGGCTCAGGGAATACTAGAAGTAGCAGTGTTAGCAAGAAATGTGTCTTTATCTGATCATTATATTCTTTTGTATTGGAATTGCTCTTGTAATTTGGCTGTGACTAAGTGATTGTTATCTGGCTAGACAGGACACAAAACCTTGGTGCTCAAATGGGTCCTTAATACATGTCAATATTTGCTGTAAGTTACTCCAGGTGAGTTGGATTAATGTTGAAGTTTTTTCACACAATGGCACGCACTTTTTTATATAGAATAATTTCTCAACTGTACAACTGCAACTTCCAGTTGTAGCTGCTTCTTATTTGAAATTACATACTAGAGAAAACAAACCATTTCTCCATTTAAAATTCTGGAGGAGATTTCAGAAGGTCTTCAGAGCATGATGACAGGATTAAGGAATGTCTCATAACTGCACATGCTTAAGTCTGCAACGGCATGGTTTTCAAAAAGCTACTCGTTAAAAGGTAAATCTCATGATATCTGAAGTTAGACAAGATTACTAACTCCATCTGAATGTTTGGAAGGATGTTTGCAATAAACCTGATGAATCAGCAAAATCTACTGACAAGGAACATTATTATATGAAGGGTAATTAAGAGCTTTTTGAAATAATAGTTTCTTACTAAGTGAAAGTAACCCTGCTTCTTTAGCCACCTTGTTCTTTGACCTGCTGTAACACCATCATAACCCCATTGAAAGTACATTATTCCCTATTTTGTCGGTTTACTGGAGACTTAATTCACGGGGTTTTTTTTTTTCTTGAACAAGTACAAAATTCACCTTAAAGAAGAAAATATCTGAAGATTCTGAAAGCAGAACTGTAGCAACGACGAGATTTTACATTTTTTAAAAATACACTGAAGAGTCAGCAACAGAAAAGACAAYGTGCAAAATTTTATACTAATGCCTTCAAACACTAGTCTGGCACTCAACCATATATGCAACTGAGTTTACAGTTAATTAAATAAAAGAAAGGAGAAAGACTTCAGTTGAAATTCCTCCTCTCCCTTGGAAATACTTAATATGGACAGCAGGGAAARGAGCAAAATGGGACATTGTCTGCTGAGATCGACAATGAGTCAAGTCACCAGCAAGAGAGATTTCAGCTGGCTTGAAGCGGTCTTTAACCTTTCAAAGCATTACAGTGTTAGCCCGTACATCCCTTTCTCTTCTTAGGTGCACTGGATTTTCTAGAGCTTTCAGGGATTTCATGCAGGACTGGAATTTGTTTCTGAAGCAGGGTACAACCTCTTCAAGAGGGCAAGGAGCTATTTATACCACCATGCCTTGGATTCTGGTCTTCATTARTGAGGAAAGTACACAAATAGAGAAACTAGGCAAATCCTTATCAACCAGTGCTTTTTCATTCCCACAAAGTTTTCTGTATTAATTTATTAACCACAGTGTTCTGAGAAAAACCTGAACAAAACAGTATGCTGAAGGTTTTAAGATAAAGTCTAAGACTTTTTAATGAAGATGCYATATGAAATAAAGAACCATATCAAACTCCTGTGTAGCCACAGTGCAGCTCCGGCAAATATGCTGACAGTGGAATTTGGCCTGGCTAAACCCACAAGGGCAGCACCTGACTCTGAGCTGCCCTTACCAAGAAGAGCTTAATCTGCATTCTTGTTTAAACAAAGTTTTAATAAAGATAGGTAGAAGTAATTTGATGTCAGGTCAGATCTGGAAGTTTAAACAAGATACTCCTGTATTCCCTCCTGTGAACATGCACATTTCTTTTCCTATTTTTAAGTTACAAGCATTATAAAGTTTATTTCAAACTGGCATAAACATACCACTTTTGACTATCAGTAGCATTACAAAGATTCTTGACTAGTCTAACTGTGCCATTCACACACTGCTCTATCTGAAGGTAGTGTTTATTTTTGTTGTGTAGAAAAAATMGTAATTCCCCATCTCCAGAACAGTTTATAATTTCCAATAATGCAATGAAACTTACACTCTGATTAAAATATTTTACTGTGTATAATATTTGGAACTACAAGTTTGTGATGTTTGTTTAACTCCCTCTCTTTTGCAAAAGAAAAAGTGTATGTTTTTGTGGGTGAATGTGTACTGGAAGACAGAAGGTAAGGGAAAGAAAAGTAATGTATCTGCTTAATGTTGTGAAAAAATGTATTTGTATTAAACAAATTACRCAAAGTACTGTAGTATTCTACATTTGTCACCTTGTTACATGGAGCATTATATGCTGAACATGAACTGGCAGACCACTCTTTGCTACTTAATCCTTATAAACCTGTTAAGCTGCAAGGGGCTAGTTTTGGGTACCCTGCCTTGGCAGAATGCTCASGAAAATAACTCATAGTACAAAAACAATTGAGAAGAATTAGAGTTGTTTTAYTTGCAGGTTTCAACCCTATAAAGAAGCCTATAAAGAAAGCAACTGGTTTTACATCCATAGCATAATAGACAACGAGTACTGGGTTTCAACTCCAGAAGGGTAAGAGGACCAAAGCTTCCTAAGGAAAGCAGTGTTTTGGAACTGTTTGTTATAATGATTTTGGAATCAATGAAATGACACTAGAAACAGTGTACAACAGTAAAAGCTTTAAAGATAGACTGGACAGTTAAATAGTTCAACGCTAATCCCAGCTCAGACTGTCAGAATGGAATGGATCCTGTTCCTTTTTGTATTAGTTTAGACTTTGATTTGGTGAGATTATGTCCTTTTCCAAAACTTTACAGATTTTTCTTTTAATGAAAAGGAATATTACATGTTTGCATTATAAAAAAAAACCTGTGTATTTTGTGAAGCATAAAATCAAAGAAAATATCTTACCTTGACTAAAACAATGTTCCAGCCAAGGTACAAATTTAGTTTTCTACAGAATCCACCTACTCCACATCTTTCTCCTAAATGGTCAGCTGGGGAGAGAGCGGCTAAGTTTCAAAATATCACAATTCTAGCTGGAATAAACCATCATATGGCTGATGTGTTCTAACAAATTTCAATTCCTACATCCAAGGCCAATCAATTGTTCATTTTCTTAAACCTGCCCTAATGAGCTCACTGTATAAATCAAAAGAGATTCACAAATCCCTGCAAGATGTAATACAGAAGAAACAGCATAACCAAGGAAGTTATAAAGATATATTAATTTCCATGTATTAGCATATGGAAAAGTGGAGCAAAATTTGGTTTCAAAACTTAGAGTAGAGGTATGGTTTCCCTGTACCTTTTTACTTTGCACACAAGAGTTTGAATCTCKTGATGAAGGGTACCATTAGAACACAAAACACGTTCCTGTTTAGTTTGATGTCTGTATATACACATCCCAGCCAATAAAATAGTAAGGCTGTTCTGCCTTGTTCAGTGAGCTTTCCTGAATGTCAAAGAAATTGGCAAAGACCTTCCCAAAAGTACTGACTGGTATACCACATTCCCACACTCCTACACCACAGAGCTCAGAAATAACCTTGACTGAGAACAGAATGATTCCAGTCTGCTGGAGAATGTGGGGCCTGGGACAAACTTGCCCTTTCCTGCTTTCAAATATGTATAACTGATACTAACTGAGTCACAGAACTTCCTTTTTTTATTTAAAAAAAAAAAAAGACCACATAAAAGATAATATAGCTATTAAGAAGTATTCCAAATTAAAAAAAAATAGGTCACAGTAATTTTTAAATGTGTTAAGTAAATTACTCATAATTTAAGGAAATACTTCTGTAATGAAACATGGGTCACTACATTTGTGTATGTACATGCCTGGGAACATGGTGAGTGACATAATGAAGTAGTAAGAGTTAGATGGGGTCATATTAAACTCAGAAAAGAACAAACCCAGGTGTTAATGGCTCAAAGATAGATTGCTACTTAGAGCAGCCCAGAAGATACAGTCAAAAGAATWAATCAGTCTAGAAATTCAGGCAAAGGCTTTAATGAATCTTCAAGTGCCACTTTACCTCTAGGTTTGCTATCAAATTTTSAGAGCTGGGGAAAAAGAATATTTCATTAAAAAGTATGGGTAAGATTTTTTCAGCACTTAATATCTTAGCAAAGGGCATCATCACTTTATCAATTTTCAAATCAGCACAGTGTCTAGGTTCATTGTGTGAACTTGAATAGGAGCTGACATTAGTAGGACGTTTAGAAAATGCTTGTTTTTAAATTAATGCTGTCATTTTGGTCTAGTAACTTGATTAGTTTTATTTTTCCTTTGTAAGAGGTAATTAGTTACATATTAAGCCCTTCATTTTAATAAAATTGGACAGTATTTGCAATCAAGCAGTCAAGGCTTAGGGAACTTGATTACAGTTACCACTATGGTGTCTCATCCTCAGCCTATTTTCAGTTTCATTACAGGAACTCTCACAGGAACTTGGCAGCTGTTTATAAGAAGACAGCTCAAACTGCAGTGCATAAATCACAACACCTCATTAGCAAAGTCTCTTACCTTCATGAAAATTACTTCTTTTGAAACAGAAGTCTGGAAATCAATTGTAATGAATTTTTACTCTTGAAAGAGCTAGAAGATGGAAAGATAATGTATGCATTGTATCATGTAGAGACAGACCAATAAAGCCAAGTTGAGGTAATTCTGTAATTATTGCCCTTGATTAGAAAACTAAACCTGGAAGGTTCCTTAAGTAGAGAACTTTTTCTGCTGAGAGAAAAAAAATGGTTTTCTTTTTTTACTACTCCTTCCTATCTGCCAGGTGTCTATCAAATGTTACATTTTAAAACTGTTAAAACTCCAATATACACATTTTTGGTCCCAGACTGTCCTCACATCCATGTACCATCCAATGTCATCAGATAGATGAATAAATATGCTATTGCAATGGAAGACAAACAAAAATCATGCTACTCTTTAAGTATATTCCCTTACAAATGGCTTAATTTGTTTCCAATACTAAAGAATGGTAAATGAATTGATTTACATTCACTGAATAYAACCAGCCTTGAGAAGTTCAGCATCTTCTGTTTGGTTTCAGTTTTTCTCTTTTTTTAATCACATTTGCTTTGTTTACATGAAAGAAAAAAAAAATCTTCTGGAAGTCAGTTCTTTCTGGCTGAGACCATCAATAAGGTATGCTTCACAACTAACAACTCAGCTGCTATAGAAAKTTTGAATGTAGTTCAGCCAGTTCCTTAGAAAAGTCTCCGCTCTCCAAGGCTGGCTGAAGTAAAAGAAAACTGCAGTGAAAGTACACTAAAAAGCCCCAAAGTTCTTATATGAAAGTGGCTTTACTTGTTTGTTTGAAATGTTGTATATCTAATACGAGCCCCGGTAATTAAAGAAACATGAATTTTAACTACTACAGCTCTGAGTTAAAAATTAAAAAAACATAGGAACGTTGCAAAACAGTATCTGACAAGCTAAAATGAAAGACATCTTCCCTAAAATTAATTCTTCACTGAAAAAAACCCAGTAAAATACAGAGAAGTATAACAGAGAATTTATCATTAAAATCTGAAATCCTTAGCTACAAAAGAACAGGAAKTTAACATATTCCCTACAGCAAGTTCGTAAGAACAGAGAACATCACATAAGTATTTTCCATTCCCATAGTTACCAGCATCTACTTTCTAGGTTTTAAAGAAACAGAAAAACAATGCAGAACTCCTCAGAGCRTTTATCTTTTTTTCTTCCTTGTAGGGAAGAAAATCATCAACATACAAAACTCTAATAGCTGGCTATAATGTGTGATTTGATTATGAAATTAATTGAAGAAACTGTAGCAGCTCGTCTCAGGGACACACATGAGGCAAAAAACTCTCTCTACATCCCCCTCACTCGAGGCCTGTCRGGACAAAAAACTCTCAGCACAGGAATTACAAGTAAATAAATAAACACATGGCTTTGTTTGGGGGTGTTAACTGTGCTTTTGCACTGCCACATTCTCCAACAACTCATCTGATAAATTGATCTTGCACATTATCAGTTTAAGCCTAGATTACTTTCAATACAAATATGAATTTCTGAGAGCTGTATATATTTTTTCCAATAATTCAATGTAAAAAGTTCACATACAGATAATGTTCTATTTTCATTACTTGTGCAATAGGTTAAGACAGTGTAAAAGCCAACTGAACAAGCAGTGAATATATGGACTTCAAGGAAGAAAGGTCCGATCTGTAAACATATTCTTGTAGCCTGAATGAAGAATGTTAAAAAAGATGTAATTCCAAATATTTCACTATCACATTAACCAGATTTCTGTAACGTCTTACTACTCAATTGTTTCAAGGCACGTAGAACATYTCATTCTTCACAACCTTGCATGACAATCTTTTTGAAGCATTCACCTGGATGTCAGCCTAATAYACTGTAATTACTATGACACCTTCTAGTTATCAAATTATCTGCTCATTTTCCATCCGTATTTACACAATGTCGTCGGAAGGTGACTCAATATTTCTACTTGCAATTTCAAACATCAGATTTTGGATATAAGCAAAAATTCTAAATGAACTTCCAAAACGCAAAAYCTGTCAAAGCCCTGAAACAACCACATACACAGCTTTAGTTCAATCCAATTACCCTGGCTCAGCTTCTAMCAGAGTTTAACACCTCAAGTTTTAYAAGTCAACCAAGATAAATTTCACCACACATATATATATTTAACAAAGATATAAAAATACCAAAGGCCTGCCCTGGTGTTTATYTTCAGCACATTTATCTCTCAAACCAAAACAGTGATGGCCTGTAGATGTGGCTGGTGTCAGAGGATGAGACCTCTAGCCAGGTGTAAGACTTGCAGTCCATCTGATGATGCATCAGATCACCCACACATAGCTCCAGGTCTGTTTMATTTATCAGGTTTCTTCTTTAGATTCATTTAAGGACAATTGTTAATTCTATATAACTTTAACAGATTGGCTTCCTAACACTTGAAAGGATAGCACAAGTCTATTTTGTAAAGAGGGAAAAGTTTAATATTCATATTAACAGACTTAATACTCATCTGTAACTCCTGCTGCACAGCTATAAAAATACACACCTGGATATCTGTAAAAGAAATATGGAAAACCCATTTACCTATTTACCATGCCAAAGCCTTGATTGTTTAGCACACAGAAGTATACTAGGGATCAAATGCTAGAGAGATCATCCACCAGGAATGATTATTTCCACATAATTAACAGGCATCTGAGCTGGGACTACTACAACGGGTACAAACAGTTGAGCTGAACTGTGGCTTCTGTGCCCAGACAACCTAAGATGCACTGAGATGTCCTACTTAATACCTGCTGTGAAATTATCCCTCATTTTGCACTTGTCCTTTTTTCCTTTTCTTAAAAATTAATGTTACAGCTTTTAAAGTGATAATCTGTTAAGAACTTTCCTGAAAGACACATTTTAAAGTATATAAAGAGCTGCTTCATAAAGCAAGCCTGCTATTGAAAAGTCCTGAGCAGCTTCAATTTAATTCTCAACACAGGGGGTTAGAAAAACACATGGATTAAGATATATTTAAGGAGTGGACTGTAGGGACTTTGGCTTTTGATCTGAATTCTGCAATAGAGATTGCTGAAGACAGTAACTCTTTCAAATTCTCTTGACAAAACAGAAAATACTCAGTATTTAATTGAAGCATTTCCTGCTCTCTGTGATCCTGACAGCGATTCTCAGAGAAACAAAGGTACAAGAAAAGAGTTCTTCATGTTTAAGAGATTATTGCAATTACCAGGAAAAGATAAGGATTTCTGACTACAAAGTATTCCAATCTGAATCTAGACAGGGAAAAGGTATTCAGCTAGTTGGGATTTCAAGATTACATGATTGGGATTACATGATTAAGATTTTAAGTATGTATTTACAGTCAAAAATTTTTATCCARTAATATACATCTATACCCAGTAATACATGATTTACTCTTTACCATAGATACACAGTGAGATCATAAAAAAAAGCAACCAACGGAGTTTTTACAAATATAGTTAAATTTTATTCTTGTTTCCAGTGACAATTAAAATAGGTTTCTTACAATTCAGTTCATTATTTTAGCTCTTGAATCAGCTGGTGCTCCTCAGGGCCCCCCTCTTCTTCTCCTTCATTCAAATCTTCTTTAGCTTCTGCATCTGTCACCTCAGGGTGACTGCAGGCAGCATCCCTAGCTGAGAGCTTTTTCATTTTGATGTTTGGCAGTTTCCTCAGATCACCATCCCATTCTCTTAGAGAGAAAAAGAAAGTAATGAAAACCAATTACAAATAGAAAGGAACGAATGGCAGAGGTAATTCACATTTCCTCAGAAGATGCTAACTCAAGTGAGGCTGCTTTTCTAAACYCTCTGTCCCAMTGTAATTTTAATAAGCACCAAATATTTCACCTGATTTTGTACACTTCAGAAGCTGAAATCTCTCTGTGAAGGAATAAGTACTTTCAGATGTAATATTAGGAAACAAAAATATATAATTCCCTTTATTCCCACAGCCTTATTGTACCCTCAGTTACTTTCAGCCACCTGCTTTTAGGTTGGTCACAGAAGAGTTTGCATGTCTAACATTACGTGTACGTAAGTCACTCGAGATTTATGGTAAATGTTAATTAACATGTTGTATGACTGACTTCAAGAGAACACAAAGGGTTAGTAAGAATTAATTCCCGTGGGAGGTGTATTATTTCAAAAGGCTGCATGAAGAAGAAAGGATTGTTTTAAATGTAAGCCAAACCCAGTACTCAGTTAACAGAATGCTTTCTTGATTATAGTAAATACACTTCATGGGTAATTTTTCTCAAGGGCAAAGACAGTATTTGCCAATTATAAGATACGGTTTTGCTTTACCAAGGCAATATAACAACACTTCTGTCTGATRTCCCAGTTCAAGAAGTCAATTCATATTTATAAACACAACAGTCTCTCATCTTTGGGAYTTCTGGCTTCATTCCAACATACTGYAAGTATTACTTCCAGCTACATACTATCTCTGGGAATCAGTGATACATCATTCATTGCAACATAAGCATTCCTAATTATTTTCTTTTTTTTTCCTTTAAAGTATTTAATTTGATAGAGCTGTCAGCAAAAATGTTGACTCAACCTATTACAAGGACATACCAACATGCTGGCCCAGATGAGGCAGCAGTAAGTTTCAYTTTCAGCAGTAAGCTCTCAGATGTTTTAACTGGATGAGAGTTGTAAATTCATTTAAGATTTTCAACTAGTACATACACACATACCAACACTACTGTGAACAGCTGAGGTCAGCATTTTAGGTAAARTATTATGCAAGAATATTGAGCAAAAAAGTTACAGAAATGTCATTCTAACTSTTCAATCTAAAGCTTCCACTGTTTAATTAGTAACTGTCACCAGTGGTTACCTTGTAGCAGCTRAGAAATGCCAAAATAGCAATGCCATACCTACTCTGCTTTTTCAAATGACAAATTTCTTGGCAGTTTTGCATAAGTTTATTTTTTAATGAAAAAATACATCCAATGGGTCAACTTCAGAAACACTATTTTGCATAAAGTTATTAGTGATAATGAAAAAACTTACCTGAAAAATTTAAGATGCTTTCTATTCATAATGTCTGGGATTTCTAATAGGAAAGAAATTAATTTTTATTAGACCTGTTACATTATTCAAGTGAGTCTCATTTCAAAGGAAGAAATGTGAGCCAAACATTCTCTAACCAAAATGGCTCATTCTTCCTTTCCATTGCAACCAAATGGTTCTAAAAGAAAGCTRCCATACATATACAAAAAAACACCACTTATTCAGTGCTCTTTCACTCCAATCTGCCCCAAAGGATATCTTAACAAGAACCTCACCTTCAGGGRCAGGTCATAACATTTATAAAGTATCAAATATGGAGAAACTAACATTCCATAGTTACTGAATGCCTTTTAAATACTGCAGCAAATGCAACAGAACATACATTTATAGAGACTGTTAACATCYGTCTCCTCTCTGTAGTTCATGTTCATCTTGGCTGAACAGAAAAAAAAAGACCAATAGTTTCAGTGACTGAAATTTTTCAGTCTTCCCCATTTACAGAAATAAGTACATATACATACTACAAATCTCTATTACCTTTGGTGGTGAAGAGAATTTGTTTTGTATCAAGACCTGTGGGACAGACCATTTTGCTTTTTTCCTCCTGTCCTAGTAAAAACTTTCCTACTAGATGTGTAATTTATAAATTTATGCAGATTTTTACATAGGTTGCCAAAGCTGCTTTACCTCAATTCAGTGTCACACCTTCCTTGGTCAGTCCTGCAGTGCAAACAGCCTGTGTTTGTTTAACATGGTCACTAATTTATGGTGATTTATACCTTAGGAGCCTTGACATCTTTCCAGTACAAAATACCTCATAACTGTCTATGAACTGTACAGATTTCACAGCCAGCAGGTTTCTCAATAAGGCAGATGTTTTCTACTTCTGTAATACTGAATGCACTTTATTTTAGCTCTTAAAATTGTGACATTTCAGCATCTTTCATACTGTCCTTGAACAAACAGTTCTGCCTTTGTTCATCTATCAATGTTCTCAAGTCTTACAGTAATAAATGAGATCATGCTATCAATGCAGGATTATGGATGATTTTGCTACTACAACATGTAGGATGATGATACCTGTATCATTTATCTTTCTGGCCAGACAGTCTTTACTATTCAGAAAACTATTCTTTTCTTTCATATTTGATTATAAAGTTACCAAGTGAAGAACAATAATATATGCAGAAGGTTTTGATAACAATTACAGTGACTTCTGCAGACTGCTTCAAACAGATGAGGTGATACTGCTCACAGCTGAGCAAGGCAAGGCAAATAAACATTTACCTAATGCTATTTTGGTCTGTTGATTCCTTGGTTCCAATAAATATCCATGCCACATTAGGTCCATCCTTCCCAATCAAGCCTTGAAACAAAGCCATGGTTCCTGCTTTGCAGTCCCTTGAATTGCACTCATGGCAGTACAGTGCCAAATGCTGACACATCCTAGCACTCACAAGGGAAAGCAGTTCTTCTCTCAGGTATTTTGGAAGGAGCAAACAATGCTACTCAGTTTGCCCCTAGTCGTGCAGACAGTGATGTAAACAGTGAGTTTAGCATCATGCTGAGATTTGTTCCTTTTATCAAGCCACTAATTCAACATACAGTTCAGTGTTCTTGTCACACAAACCAGGACTAAATGACAAGGCTTTCAAATGAAGCCCTTTCATTTGCTTTTCTTTATTTTTGAAAACATTTAGTGGATTTAAGTTATGCAGGRCCTTTTCCAAAGAGAATATTCTCACAGTTTCATCTAGCCTATCATCCAGGGCTCACCAACACCATGAGGAAGCAGGCATTYTGAAGAGAGATGATTCTGTGACAAACCAAGATCTGGCACTGAATTCATCTTTACTGCTTTGGCAGTGGCAAAATTTTTAAACTATGCTTACATGTGTGTTTGCAATATGTTACACAATAAAATCTACTGAGTTGCCAGGTTAAAAATAGAACTGTGTGTAGAAATAAAGTAACTATAAACTGCACAGTAACYGATGTAACTGGATTAATACGACTTGTATAACTCAGCTGCATCTCCTCAGCATGCACTGATATCGTGGTTTTTGCTGCTTCTTGTGAACTCCTTCATTTGCTTTAAAATGTTAAGTCACAGAGGCATGTTTTTCTGAACCAAAGACAAAAAAAAATTAAGAGAGAAATATGGCACAGGATTTAGTAGGAAAGAAATGAAGACAGTATTTGGTGGAGTATATCACTGTCTGGCATTTCTAAGACAAGTATTCAGCAATTTATGTGCTTTAGCAAAACAGCAGTGAAAGATTTAAGTAAACATTTTTTTATGTTTCTGACCCTTTCAGATAGTTTTACTTTTCTTTTGTTTTGAGGAAGAACAAACAACCTCTAAAAAGAAGCAAACTGTAGATGCTCTTTAGGCAAATAACCATTCAGTTATACAATAGTGATCACTGTGAAAAGAGCAGCTAATGAACAGTACAGAAGTTACATTAGCAGATACATGGAAATGATACAGCTTCCATCTGAATTAAATTGACTTCCCTGTAATGTGAAGCCTCCAGAACTAATTAATAAAACCAGTGTATTTRGTTTTAAAAGCCACTTTGCCCCAAGATTAGTATTATGCATCTGAGAGAACATACAAGGTAATTAGAAGCAAATTATCAAAAATGGATAATGTTCAGATGAAATAATTATAATGCTTTYCCATGAAAAGCATGCTACATCTGGGTTACAAATAAATAAATAAATAAATAAAATAGTGTTGCCTGTCAATAGCTTTGTATAAACAAGTAAGAACAGATTAAACAAAAAAAAAMCAAATACACAAAAATTAAAACAAGAGGAAGAAAACTGCAGTAAAACTACTGTAGATATATTTAAGGCATAAGTGACACGAAGCTGCAAAAYCTCAACAACCTCACGGATAATGTTCCCTCTATCACTACTTTTTGTTTAAAAAAGACTAAAATTTACTACATTTTGGGATGTCTACCACTTTTGCAAATGAACTTTTACATTTTATAAAGAATTAGTTTTTCATTTACATTTATCTTTGACAGGACAAGAGAAAATGCCCTCAAGCTACACCCAGGTAAGATTCATGCTGCCCATCAAGACAGATGTTTTTTCACTGAAAGGGTGACTAAGCATTGGAATGAGCTGMCCAAAGAAGTGGTGGAGAAATCAGCAGCCCTGGAAGTGTTCAAGAAACACTTAGTTTCAACCTAGTTGACATGGTGGTGTCTGGTCAAAGGTTGCACTTGATCTTKGAAGTCTTTTCCAACCYAATTGATTCTATGATATAAATAGACTCCATCAAATTTTACCAGATTTCCCTAAATGAAAAGAATACATATTATGAAGTCTCTTCATGGCAAATGCACATGCATACAAGAAATAACTGAGTTCAAGAATAGGGGGGATGAAAAACCCAACAAATCTAAGTCTGTTATAAAAGCTCCACTCACTAAAGCTTCCAGGATTAATAATGAGCTAGAGGCATAAAAGCACTGTTTCCAGCTGATTTCCATTTATGCCCAATCTCTAATTACAGTATTTAGTTGCTATAGTGCTTAGCAGCAACTATTTTCTCTGAATGAACACTGTCCTAGACAGAGAGTAAAACCTGCAGCAGCTGTGATAACAAATAATGAATGATTTGAAAGTGTATTTAATATGTGAAGTTGCACTGTGTTCTCTGAATGCTTTACTTACTAATTCTGTAATAGCCTCAAATTTTGCCCACAATAGTTCTAGATTCTTCATTATTTTTATGTTGTGCTTGTGCATTTGACATCTTTTTGTCTTCTTTTTCTGTCAGCTTTCCACAAAGCAGTAAGGAAAAAAAGAACAAAAATTGAAAAGCGAAAAACAAAAGGAGTATTTTCTGCAACTAAGCTATTTGATGACAATTATAACATCCATTTTCCTATTGCTTTTTCTCCTTCCTTCTAAGAAAGCAAAGATTACACATGAAGTCATATAGATATTCCTAAATTCCTCTTCAGGGTGCACTGGCAAAATTTTAAAGCCATTAATTTTCTTTATTTGTACAATACACATCGGGGTGTGTTGATTTTGGCTGGGATTGAGTTATTTTCTTCACAGTAGCTAGTGCAGGCTGTGTTTTGGATTAGTGCTGGAAACAGTGTTGATGAAAACAGGATGCCCTTTCTGMTCCTCACACCAGCCCACCAGCAAGAAGGGTGAGGGTGCACAAGGACCTGGGAGGGGACTAGTCCTGAACAGCCAGGACTGCTAACTGGTTTGTATCTAATTACAGAATAATATACATTTTTCATGTCTTCCATGAGATATTTCACTATTAGAAGGACTATGTCTATATAATACTTTAGCATTAAAGCCAGGTTCATCACTCAGCTTCAACRTGTATATTACTGGTTAAAGAAATATACATACACTTAACTGCTTTTCTTGACTATCCTCAAAACAACTCTTTGCTTTTTGCACTTTCATTAGCCCTTGGTCCTTCCTCTTTATTTCACCARACTTTCCTTCAGTCTGGTTCCAGCTATCTGGTTCAGCTATCAAACGAAGGTCCAAACAAGCTGCTGAACAGAATTTGTATTCAAGACAGGTGCAGTAAAATCTCACTGTAGTTTCAAAAATAAGTTATATATTCCTGCACTGAAGAGAAAGAACTAGCAAAGATGCTCAAAGGCCAAGTAGCATATGAGTCAGACCTCTACCGTAATTTTTTCTCTTTTTCTTCACCCTTCCGCCCCTCCTCCCAAACAACTCTGCAAGACATAAGCAACTAGCACTTAATTAATTTCTTCAAGGAGAAAAATAAAGACAATACCTAGAAAGGTGACTTAGATTCTGGCCTTGTGAGCAGGTGTGAGCACAGAATTCTTTCTAATGCTTTTACATACCTATTCCATAGCCCTCATAGAGCTGTCTTTCACGTTCTATTGTCTGCTTGATGACAGTTTCCCGGGAACCATGCTGTCTTCCTTGTCTGCCTTTAATACTGTTCTGTAATTCAATCTGCTCCAATTCGTCATTGAATCGACACATATAACTGAAAGAAATAAAATTCATTAAAGCTAGATGCAGTCATGAAAAAAATCTGCAAAGCAGAATTACTCTGATAATCTAATGAATTAACTGATTGTATTTATCTTCTAAATTTGTGATATTTCTGCAACTTGAGCAACTGCTTTAATCTCCATAGTGGAAGCTCCATTGAGAAYATCATTTAAATCACATGTGGCTTCCACAAGAATTTCTTTTATTTGCCCCTTTTTTWAAATCCATGTTTGCATAAAACAAAATTTGCTCATTAATATAATTCACCTGCTCTGGAAAACCCATGTTAAATCTGAATTAGTTAAATTCCTAACTTTTAATTGCTGGATTTCACCACTTCAATAGTATCTTCTAAAGCAAAATTTTTCATTGGCATGTATTCTGCACCTTCTTTCAAACTTCCAGTTTAAACCCCAAGAGTAACCAAGAGTAAGCCTTCATTGTCTTTTTAGTAACACTAGCACTCATGAGCATGTAGAACAYAGTGTTCATGAACAGAAAATATGTCAGAGCTTCTAAAGGGAACTGATAAAATACATCTGGGTAAGAATATATATGTATCCCATGTCATTCAGCTAGCAGGTGACATGGCACAGGTGCACACATCCAGCAGCACAGGAATAACTGAGTTTTTCTTCATCAGATTAAACTTTGGTAGTCCCTGCCCTACAAATTGACCCACCTGACTACTGTTCAATCTTCTCAGCAAGGAAAACTGGACACTCAAGGAGTGCATGCCACTCAAGGTGGCATGAAATCTGTGTGTTCAAGTGTCACRGAATAACCCAACAAGCAAATGCATGTGATTACTACTGTCCAAATCATTTAGARTCCTCCACACACTAAAAAAGTATGGATATTCTTCAATAATTAAAAAAAAAAAATAAACCACAACGCACGACTTATTTGAATAATTCTGGTATGACTATATACAATCCCTCAATATATGTCAGTGGCAACAATATCAACAACCTRGTATTATTACTACCAATATATAAAAGTCCTCTTTTGAGTCATCGTGACTTTACAGATCTTATTTTAAGAACATTATTTTTAAAGACAAGTCAAGCTTTTTAATCTTGTTTTTAACACCAGTCTTACTCTTCAATTAGTTCACCAGCTTCCTTCTTCGTGTACTCGATTTTACTGGGGTCAAGGTGACYTTGAAACCATTGCAGTTTTTCTCCTATAAGAATAAAGTGAACATTAATGATTATACCACTACAGTAGCAGCAATACAGATTAAAGTTTCTTAAAGTTTTCTAAACGCCCCCCCATGTTTCAAGATTTTGAACAGCATCATAGACTCTGATACTGTGGGTACCAGGTATGAAGGTTGTTGTAATAGAAACATTCCCACATAATTTCAGATTTATTTTATACCTTCCTTACAGAAAAAAAGGACATTAAGCTTTGTTTTAGTGGAAATTAATTAAAATATCACTATATCAATTACTTAGGAAGGAAACTTAGAAAGGGGAAAAAACGAACRCAGTGGCTGAGTAAGAGTGCTGATCCATCACCATTTTTAAACATCTTAAACTGAAAAGATGCAGGATCAATCATGTGGAACAGAAAAATATTCCAGACAGTGTCTCAAAGTTTTGAATTTATTTGCTAGCACAATATGTCTTTTAACTTACATATATCCTGTTCTTTTACAAGCAATTGTAAAAAGCACGGGGACCAAGTACAATAAATATGTGTACAGACGTACAAAACACTCATTTGGTCTATATTGCCCTGTTGTTGTGTACACTGACTAAAGATTAGCTATGCTCAGGCCCAAATTCAATCCTGTATTTATTACTTGAGTGGACATGTCATTTCAGTATTTCAACAAAATCTGTTTGAAGATTGCAGAATCAGATTACAGAGGAAGAAACTCTAACTGGACAATCTAAAAAGTTGGTAAAACTTAGARTCTCTACAAAGAAGCTGAATACTGCACTCAGTAAAAGAGTTTCTGCTTACCAATAATACTTAAACGCAAAGCTTTGTCAGTCTTCAACCTAGCAGAGAAAAAACAGACATGTTAGCCAGGAATGAGTACCATATAAATAATGACTTTAATTTTATTCTCCTTTTTTTTTTCAGTCACAATGAAAGTCTAGGCAAAATTATAAAYAGAAATATCTGACAAATCCCAAGCAATGTAAAACTTACTCTGTTTAATTCAAAATATCTACTTTTTGGTAAAGCTACTATCTGGAATTTGTCCAGTTTACCTATTAAGCTAAACAGTTTCTTCGAAGAAATAATGTTGCAACATTTTTCTAAGAGCACAACAAAAGGAATTTCACCAAAGAGCTACATTGTCACAATTTCCTTAAGTAATTCTGATACTCTTCTGGCACATTTAATGAGTTTGGAGATTTCACTACATTGCATTCTTGCAAATCAAGCATGCAATGTGTAAAATACCATCCTGTTACCTGAAAACTTGGAAAAGTTTCTGCTTAGTAACAGTAAAAATTAATAAACCAAAATAAACTACTTCGTTAAAGATGAAAAAACCCCAACTCTATCTCATARTACTTTTAACTCCACCTCAATCTCTGGCAGGATACTCAAGGTCTGCTGTGTTCTATGGGATGTGTGTGCACAATTCCATTTCGGATTAATTTTCATACTAATTAGGAGATCTCAAAAGACAACTTCTCTAATAGGAAATCCTGTGCTTCCTGCTCTCTTGTCCTCAAGGTGTCCTCAAAGGATGTTGCAATGTTCTGTTGTTTCCAGAAAGGAAAATAAGACATTATTGGGGTAAGTATGAAATTTTTCACTGGAAAAAATATCTTAGCCATGCATATTCAGTATATATATTCAAGGACCTCTGATAAAATGGACTTTTTATTATTATTATTAAATAGAAAAATTTGAAATGCATTAAGTAATTCATAAAGGGTATAATTGACAAAGAATAAATAATGCTAAAATTAATCACAGTTTAAAGCTATTATGCTCCTTTACTAAATTATTTTTACTCTATAAAATCTAATGAGCATTTTAGAACTAACTGAAGTAACTCAGAGTACAGAAGTCTGTCACTATTATAAAAATTGGGATCAAAAGATAAACCCCTACTTTCCAGAGACAAACATACYTGTGTCACTTGTCTGCAAATGTACATTATATAAATAAAGATTAGCTTTTTCAAGAAGTACTTTATCCTCTGAAGACTGTCTAAAAGCTGTGTAAAAGCAAATGCACAGCATGTGTGAGCTGCTAAGAATTACACTAACATATTAAAGAAATTTTTACTACTGTGGATACCCCAGCATGTGTAGAAATAGACTTCAATAAAAACTGGGCAGGCTTTTATCCTCAGAGCACTGACAGCAGGGAGCTTTGGATTGCAATAGCTTCCAAGAAAAAGACACATACTCCACCCCATGGAGCTCAACACCAGCAGTCCCTGCTGAGAACCCTTCATGGCAACCTAGMCAGACGAGCCTGCAAAGCTTTGCTGTGGAGAAATCTATGATGGCATCTAGAAAAGCTGCCTAAACAGAATCATGGCAGGCATCTATATTCTAAAACACTACAAACTGCCATTTGCACCTGCTAGGGTCACTAAATCATTTATTTATCAAAGCAGCAAAGTATAGAACCACCACCACCTTCTGGAAGAAAAACCTTCAGTCTCCTGGTGCACACAACTAATTTCAGCATAAGAAATAAAGAATGATAGGCTCAGATGTTATTGTACTTTTCATAAAAACCTCACCTCACTGACTGCTAGAAGACAATAGCATTAGCAGCGAGGCTAATCAAATCAGGTGAGTCAAAGAAACTTCCTCTCATCTCCTTCCACACAATGAGTAATAGCTTTGGCTCAYAGGAAGGAGAGGGTAAGGACGGGAATACAATCTTGTGGCAGGCTGTTGTTTCTTGATGATCTTCTCCTTCACCCACCTCCCAGAAATCCTCTACTTAAGCACTGATTAYTATTATTAAGAACGATTAGTGGGTTTTTTTGATGTCTACCAAGTACTTAAAAAGTAAATTCTACATATTCCTTCAGCAGCTCTTTATCTCAGATAATGTATTCAACTGTTCTACTSTAAATACCAACAATGAGTAAGTATTTCCCAAATCAGTTTACAAACTCACTATTTTTCCCCATAATATCCRTACATACAAATGCTATCTATGGCTCTGAAAACTAAGATAGGATTTTCACTAAGAAAAAAAAAAATAATGGTTGACAAGACATGTTTAATTTTTTCAGACTGCTAAATAGCTTTCATAATTCTCCATACACATGTGCATTCTTGTTAGCTTGGTTAAGCATTTTAAGATACTTCTGTACTATTACCAGTGAAGCAGCTATTGATGTCTCATAAAAACAGCCTTGTAATTATTTAACAGAGCAAACAAGCTGCCTAAAGGGATAAGGATTCAYGTGCAGATTAAGAGAGAATAAACTGGTAGTAATACACTGGAAGTTGTTGCTGCTCATTAGACCTTGAAGAGAACAGAGAGGAAAGGGATGCAGGCAAGAAATAGGTCTAATTCAAGCGAACAAGATGACTAAAGACTGTAGTCAATTCCCTACAAGCAATTGGTCTGTCTCCTCTTATTATGGTTAAGATTGGTCTTTTGAGTGAAGTCACAGTTTCTGGACAGTAAACTTACTGCTGCTGTCATATTTTGTTATAAATGCTTGCAGTGAAGAGTGGACAACGGAGGCTGTAAAAGACTTCTGCAACTCAGTGCAGAATTTCTCCCTCGTTTTTCCCAGTGCTGCATTTTAAGGATTGAAATTCCTTGTGGATAATATGTACCCCTTTTTATTATCTCGTCCAGGCAAAAGGTACTTGAATATGTATCTTATGACTTAATGCAATTTTCCTTTCTGTATAACATAAACAGGAACATTCATAGTAGTTATTTCTTTTTCTCCATCCTATAGGAAAGTTAATAAGTAAATAGAAGCCTAAACTGTCTCCAGTCCTGAATGCTGTCTTCAGACAAGTATCAATGGAAAAAAAATAATAAAAACAAAAACAAGCAAAACAAAAAGAAACAAACCACACAAAATCAAAAACATTGACTGATACTTCTATAAAAGCCATTCCCAACTTCCACTAACATGCCATTCAAGGGTTTCCTACATCCAAGGTAATTCCTTTGTATTAAACAGTGATCAACAGATAAAATATCTGTATGTTCAAAAAGCATAAATTTAGCCAGCCACAATTAGACATCTTCTGGCAAGGAAATCCACAGCTTAAATAAAATAATAATGATGAACTCTATGGCCTTCCTGCACTGACTCCTCTAACCCAGTTTTTCCATTCTGCARAAATGCACTAGTCTGTAGAGAGAAATTATGCTCTTTACCCAGGCCTGGTGAGATAATATTGAAAATTCTGCTCCAGTTTTCTGTCCTATTCATACTTCAGACAACTTCCTTCAATACAATAACAAGCATGGTCAAAAAAGTAACAGATTTGTAGATGGGACTAAGAAAGAAAATTCTGCACAGATTACAAGGCAGCTTCTCCTGCTGTATTTACCACCAAAAAATATATTAACCTTCCAACCAGAGAACAGGGCTGTCATTCAATAGAAGCAATTTGGAAAATTGTTTAAAGACATTTAATAGACCTCCAGAAGCAATGAGGAAGAGCAAGACTGGTGTGAGCTATTTCTTTTTCCCCAAAGTGTAGGAGTGGAAAGCTGTCCTCCATCCACAGAACCAGACATTTGTCTTGTCTTTTTCAGAGTTAAGCAAAATTAAGCCAAACCGCATCATTATATTACAGAAACTGAAACTTAAGTAATTGTATTAAAAAGTTTAACATGCTTAATTCCTAATGTTTAAAAAAATATCCTGAAAATTTACCAAGCCAAGCATTTAGATAGAGATTTAAAAGAACTTGGAACCCTTAATAAGTCTTTTAAAAAACACTAGGGGAAAAAACCCAACAATATTCATGTCTTTCAAATTAAATTAAGCTTCAAGACAAGACAATACAGAAAACAGAATATAGACCATTGGAGGATGTKTTTAATGCAACTAATTTTTAGATGTATTTTTAGAATGTCACATCAAAAGTGATCTACAAAGTACATATCTTTGAAGAATGTTAGTTAACAGTTTGGGCCCCAGAGGTACAAGATGTAAAAATCTTATTTATAAGACATAAAGATACAAAATGTAAGATCACTTTACTATCACTGAGTGCTGAGAGAGCTGGCAGACACCATAGCTAGATTTGAAAAGTTATGATGATGAGGAGAGGTGCCYGAGAACTRAAAGAAAGCAAATGTCACCCAGTCTTCAAAGAGGGCAAGGAGAACCCAGTGAGCCCCGCATCAATCCCTGCAAAGGCAATGGAGCACCTCATTCTGGAGGCCATCTCTACACACATGGAGGACAAGGAGGTGATCAGGAGTAGTCAGCGCAGATTTCCTAAAGGTAAGTCATGTCTGACCAACCTGATTGCCTTCTATGATAAAAAAACTGCCTGGATGGTGAGAGGACAGCCGTGGATATTGTCTACCTCAACTCCAGCAAGGCCTTTTAACTTTTTGTTGTTGCAAGAGGAAACAAAAGTAGCGCTCCAAGGAGAAACATCAGCACAGGTGTCTGTATCACTCTAACCATAGGAGACCATCACTAAAAGATTTGAATGTGCCATGTCATAACACATAATTAATAAGTATTGCTCCTTCACTAAGCTTTCTTGTGCATGTTTTTCTGTATGGCAAAGTCACAAATGCAAATACTAAGAATTAAGTAAGATTAAGTCATCTTTTGTGATTAAGAGCTCTGAGTTGCTGTTATGACACAAGGTGAGAGAGGTAAGGAGCAAAGTGGTCCATTTAGCAGCAGGAAAATAACCTACAATAAAAACTTACAATAAACAGTCAGAAAGGACAGTCAAAATATGAAGCAGCAGGGAAAGCTTCTTGCACATTAGGAAACTGCCCAATCCTCAAAACACATTACTTTCAGATTCTCTGCTGGAGGCCACATGAACCAGCTGTGGCAGCAAAGCCTCCCCTTCTAGTAAAAGCAACAGTAAAACTGCTGTGGATAAGGCTGCACATCAATCCCAAAAAGAAAACTGCACAGTCTCTGGACCAGGAGGTTCCAATTTAACACTTTCAGACAAATGAGTATTTGGGCTCATCTCATATGGTCCATCCAGATACTATAATTTGTATAGCATTATACAGTTTACATATACTATACTTCGACAGAAAATGCTTTAAGTTAGCTTTAGTAAGTTTCTAAATAAACAGTCACAGCATAACAATGGCAAGCTGAAACAATGTAAAATAAAGGCCAGTCTTCACCAGCTGTCTTTTCCCTCCCTTTTCATGCGAGGCAGAAGTAAAACTTAAAAGCAGAAAAACAGACTTGCCATGGAACAGCAGAAACCACCAAAGAGGAGTTAACTATACAGTTTTATTCAGAATTCTCCCTTCTGAAGGTAGGTTTCTGGCTTTTCTATCATATTTTCTATATTTCTATTATTTCTTTTCTGTTTCAGCATTTCAGCAGAAGCATCTAGGCCCCAAGCAGGATTCTTACTGAACTCACTGAAGTAAGACCAAACTAGGTGACTCACCTTCATGTGAAATCACTGGCATCATGCTATTCAGATTATCAAAGGCAAGAAATCTAATCTTTTAAGGACAACACCCAAAGTCAAGCAGCAGAACCACTTACTCTGTATAACCTGATTTAATGGATGTAAACCTGTCCCTTCACATGGCCCAGCAGCAACAGTAAGTTACACAGGCCTTTCTGTAATCTTATGGCTATGTCAGCACAACAGTCCCCTTTCTACTACCACAACCAAAAAGTATCCTTTGTGATTTTATTTTTTGGTCTATCCAGAGATTTTGCAGTCGACTTACTTTTCCTTCTTTTCCTGTTTGTGTGCTTCCCTTGCAAGCTGTGCAGCCTTTCTGCTRTATGGATGGATAACTTTTTTCTCTTGCTTCCCTCCTTGAGGTTTTCGTAACTTTGGCTGAAAAGAAATCAAAGATACTATGCACTAATAAATTAAAACACTGAAGGGAAGACAGAAGTACACAGCATGGTAAAGKCTTAAAAGGTATCTCTGAAAGCCCTTAATTTACAGTAACACCTTATTAATTCCACCTACTTCAATAACAAAATCACTTGAAGTCAGTGCATGCTGTAACAAAGCCACTAGAGCTCAGGAAATGTGGAAACAAATCTTACATAGTGACTCCTATTTTGTAGAACTCTGCAGCTAGGAAACTAAGATTACTTCTCTGTATCTTTGCAGAAAAATGCCCCCATTCAAGCTTCTATCACATTGTTGCATCAGAATTTCTGACAAGGGCCACATGTAATTTGTACAAAGCAACAAAAGGGATTTTCTTGTTCCTTCCAAGAGATTATTGGAATGTTTTACATCAAGAAGCAGCCAGAGGCTTTCCTTCTCTACCCCTTCATACTGCATAGAGAGGAAACACTGTTCACAAGTTTCAAAAGTACGATAACGCTACTTTAAGGTATGTTACYTTCTGGTGAAAAAGTGTCTCAGTGGAACTGAAGGCTTTATGAAATAATATGCTATTTAACTGTTCGCAAAAGAAACACCTTAAAGAAAGGCGGCTTTCCYGCATCACGTCAAATGACCATCAACAAACCGAGACTTTATACAAACCGAGCCAATGCTCTGTGATGACATTAGTGCTTACGGCTGCGAAAAAAAAGATGTCAAAGACAAAACTACTCTGAAGAGCAGCAGAAATGTCAGGCGGCGGCACCTCGCATCTGCTCCAATGCGGACCGCGCTTGGCCCCGCTCACCCTCCGGCACTGCTGCTGCCCTGCCGGGACTGCCCACAGGGATGGGAACCCCTCCGGGAGGAAATGCAGCAGTTTTTAAATACAACATCAGCTCACAGCCGGTATCGGCCCACAGGGCCGCCAGCCCGCCAGGGAACCCGCCGCAGACTCCCGCGGCTTCTCCAGGGACGCGGTGAGGCCGCTCCCGGCGGGAAGAAAGGGATCGGGAACACCGTATGAACAGCGACCGCCATCCCCAGCAGCGCAGGCTGCGGGAGCCGCGCCCCTACCCCTACCCCTATCCCTCCTGCTGTCCCTGTCCCTGTCCCCGTCCCTGTCCCCATCCCGATGCCGCCACACGCACCATGGCGAGCGAGCCTCCTTCCGGCGCCGCGGTGCAGCCGCCTCAGCGCTCCGGGCGGAAGGCGCGGCCCGCACCGGCCCGGCCCGGGCTCCCAACGGCCCGTGCGGCCATGGAGCGGCGGCTGGCAGCGCGGGGGAGGCCGAGCTGAATGAAAACTGCTGAGGAAGTAGCTGGCATCTTTGCAGCAGCTAAGGTGATTGCTAACACTGTACCAAAGCACCGGAAAATGTAAAAATTCCTCACCTCAAAACACTGGAATCAGTTGCACGACGACGGCTTGTGCCGCAAATATCCCTACCCTCGGTGAGCTTGACAGAGAGGCATTGCTCTCTTTCTCAAGGGGAAAAAAAGAAACAAAATAACAGAGCTAGAAAGCTCAATTCAGATCAAATCACTTTGGCAACTGAAATGGATGGGGCTGCTGCGATCCATGAGCTTGAGATAAAGTAGAAGCATGATGATTATTATGATGAAGATGATGTGATGATTATTGTGATGAAGAAATTCCACAACTGGTGCCTATACAAGGAAGAGCTTCGCTGAGCTGAAGAAAATGGAACAAAAACGAGAAAGAGGCAGCAACCTGGGTGAGAAAACCAAAACACCGCTTGATAAGAGAAAGAAACAACCTCTACTTCTGGAAACTCAAAAATCGAAACCTTAAGTTACAGCAGAGTTACGGGAGCATGTAACTCTCAGATTTGCAGAGTCACAAACCCAAAAAGCCCTCCATGTCCAGCATCAATGCTCTCATGACACCTGAAAGCAGATCACCACCTRTACCATGGGCCTACGGAAAAGCACTTGTGACTATTTCAGCTCCAGGCATCACAGGCTCAAAGGAGACACCAYCTTCAGGCCTTGTACTTCTTGCTCTTCAGACACCAATAGCTCCTATAATATATAAAGAAACATTAATTTTAAAGGGTGTCCCTAAATAGCAAGCCCCCAAATATTTTAATAAGAATATATAAAAGGAAAGTGGGATTATGTAAAGCAAAGTCTTCTTTCAGCTTGTATTGGAACATTACTTATTTGTGCACTTGCAATAAAACTGTTTCAWAGATCTACAGAACTACTACACAAGGCAGTGACAGTAGCAATTGCTGTTTTTAATCTAATAATTTAGGATGTAGCAGTCACAGGCAGGAAACTGGAACATGGAATTTTAAATAGTCCATCCAAGTAAATAGATTTAGAATTATGCTGTCAAACAGCACAGGAATCCTAGTAGCAAACTGGGGAATAGCTCTGTTTTAATACTGCTCAAATCTGCTGGGGACCAGCAACTCACATTTAACTGAGGGATGCTAAAGGAAGTCAGGCCATAAGGTAAAAYGGCAGTGAAAACAATTTGACTATAGACCCATTCAAGCATACTAATGAGAGACAAGAAAAATGTAATTTGTAGATTCTTTCTTCATTTGGATGAACAGTTGGAGGCTTTAGAGAATGCATGCCTGAGAATGTCAATGGTATTGCTCCTCCCGTGGAAATACCACAGAAAAACTACTGTGTTCTCCATCCAGTTTTCATTTCACAGAAATCTAGTGTTCATTTCCCTGCTAGGTGAAAAGCAGATCTATGACTGGCTTTACTTCTGAGCTGAAAGACATGGTTGAAGTTGAAGCTGAAGAGTACTCACAGTAAATTTTTAATTGGAACTGTAAGAAAGWAACACTGTGGATACTTATATTTAATGGGCAGCTCTAAGGGGCTTTCAGCTGGTCTTCTGCCACTGACTGTAATGAGACCCATGGGTAATAATGCATTTAACCTGATGACCTAGTTACAAAACAAAAAATATTCAGTGTAAATGTGCTTTCTAGCCTGATCTTGTTTTTTAAATAGTTTGTAATCTGGAATTTTTTTTTTTCTTTTGCTTTTTAATACTTCACTCTCTCCATCTACAAAGGATCTTTTGTAGAATGTCTTGACAGCTGTGTGCAATAATTGCTGTGTAAGTTCTCCTAAGTCATGGATTTATCCTGGGCGGGGAGGGGGCAGGGACAGACACAAGAACCCAAATTGRGCATGTTAATAACTGGATCTTAATTTGTACTTTTTGCATTAATTTTACTGATGCCATTGCAAATGCATAAATTAAAATAAAGGGATGTGAAAAAATGGATTAAAATAAAAATGGCTGTGATATTCTCTCTTACAGTGTTCAGTGATGCAAAATAGAGTAGGTTTACTAAGTACAGTTAAATTCTTTCATCCTTAAACTGAATTGCTATTAAATTCTAGTTACTATGAAATATTRTGTTAAATATTATAAAGCAGTGACTATAGCATGTAGTAGCCATACAATTGTAAGAAGGAGGCTCCATCCTAATGACAATAGCATTCTGACAATAGAAATTCTGAAACTTACATGTCCTCTATTAGACAAACTGATAAGTAAGAGTTAGACTGATTTCTGAATATTCTAACAAATCTCATTTACAGTGTTATAACTGCATTAATAAGAATGGAATTTAAAATTGTGGTTATCTTAGTTTTAATAAAATACAAATTTCCTGAGTTCAAGGGAATCAGCTAAAGGTTAAAGCAATTAACAGCTGCATTTAGAAATGAGAAAAAAAAAAAAAGTAATGAGCAAGGGAAACTATATCAGTGAGGCAACAGCGGGCAGTCAGACTCAGGATCTGACATAATCTGAAATGCATCTGTAGTAGGGCTTTAGTGGAAAGACATATGTAGAGTTTCTTGAGTTTATTCCATATTATCAATAAGAGCAAGCAGTACAGTAGAAATGGAAAATTGCAGTTATGCTTACAGTTATTTTGTGGGGKTTTTTTTAAGCTAATCTCTTCTAAACTGGTGATTTTTGCATGTGGTATTATCTTAATGGATAAGGGATATAGCCCCTGGTTCACTTAATGTGTATTTATTGCAAACTTCCTGATTAGTTATATGTTCCTAGGAATTCCAGCCTCTTTCTACATATGCAGAGGTCAGATCTTCTCAAGTAGTGGCGGTATGAAAGAAATTGTATTGTTTACATATAAATAAATTGGATAAGAACTATAAAGTACTGAAACTGATATATAATCTGGGTTATTTTTAAATCGACCTTTAAGAGAATACATCAGCTGACACTTGAGCTTTCTGTTGTCACAGGTAAATGATTGAGCTTCAGCAAATCTGAGGATGCATTGATTGGTTTAAAGAAATATCTTAATATTTGCTCTATCCTGAGTTCATAAATAGAATGCCATTTGCTTTTAATTTAGTCAGGTATATGCTTTGACATTAAATTCCTATCAATTCAATGCCACTGTTTATGTCCACACTTTACAGATTGTGAACATATTTATCTGCATAGCTGGGGCAGTGTTTCTACAAATGTGACTTTAATGACTCAACAGAACTTTAAATAAAAGGAAGTTTTAAAACCTGTGTTCCAGATTTGCTAGCATTTATCTGAAGCCTTCTTTAAATTTCTGATATCTAGTAAGTTTTACTTATGTCATTGATACTGATGCATTTTGCACTGATATCTTAATTTTTCTGCTGGCAAACTAAGAAAAAGTATAAGAGAAATATCTATTCATATAATTACTCTTTCCTTCCTGCTTTACAATCATTTCTAATCTATGTTGCTGAAGAAACTAAAACCACCTAATATTCTCCTTTGAATATGTTGCAGACTACTCATTTCTGCACTTCCTAATTTTTGTAAATGCTGCTACTATTGCATTTCTTTTAGTCTCTCCATTCGAATTATGCTCAAGCTCTTCCTAATGGATTCCTGTCCCTAATCAGAACAGCAGAAGACCACTCACTCCTTTTGCCAGTGCCTCCTTTTATYAATCTCTTTAACCTTTTTCACATGAAAGCTCTGCCCGCTTCATTTGTTTAGATTTTGAAGAGGCTCTCGGGTGCACTGTAGGTTTTGCCAGTCCTCAGTAACACAGTAGCTATGTAGCATTCTGCACAAGGTTCCAGTTTCAAGATATCAACCGTAAAAGTGTCTGCATTTAAAACTTTCTGGAGAAAACCTGGAATGGGGCTACAGAGTAGCAGCGTAACATGCTGTCACTGTATAGCATGGCATCTTCATCAAAGAAAAGCTTTTGTGCTAGATTCTTTAGATGCTCTGTTTTGCTGACACCCTTCTGGACRGGAAATTATTCCAGTCAGAGTGCATGTCAGTGTGTAAATGCACAAAGATTTTCAACATATTCTCTGGAACCCACTGTTTCCTTGGGAGCCGTGGTGTGCCCAGTAGCTTAATGCTCAGATAAAACAATGAAAATTCAGTATGTGGGCGGATATATCTGGGCAACGTGTCTGAAGCTTAGAGAATAAACTCTTCTGCCTCTGTTTAGACTTCTGTTTAGCCCATCTGGGTATAAATTTGAATAATTCTTCCTTATAACTATTCGAATATACCTGTTTGTGAAGTTGCAATCAAAATTCATGATTTTATTCTTGTGAGATTTTATCAYAACGTTTTTCTTCAATAGTGAATTGAATCCAGTAAATTTATCACACCCATCCTTGATATATCAAGATATTTTCACCATACATACACTAATAATGGAAAAATAAGGATAAAACTCTGACAATACAGAAGATGGTTACTGAGTTATCCTAAAGAAAGTAATATTCCTATGTGAAGCAGAAAAACATGAAATGGTTGAAATCTCAATGCTTTCATTAAAATTTTGAGTCACAGTATATAATTCCTTAATTTATCTGTCTGGTTTGAGTGGTCTTTTTCTTTCTTGTCCTTTTCAATCTTCAGGCTCTGTAGCTGCAGCAGCTGAGGCTATTACATGAACATATTGTATAATATTTTAGATGAGCTGACTCCAGAAATTTAATCTTGTCTGGGATTCTATCAAGTCTCAGGAGTTTTTCTTCAGCTCCTCTAGCAGGCATATTATGTTGTCAGGTGCCTGTGAGGCTRCAAATGATTTCTGATTTTGTTGTTCATACTGATTTTTTCTTCTTTTTTTTATTTCAGACTTGGAATAGATTTTCTCATTACTGCTGTCAAAACATTTCACAGTATTTTGCCAAGTTTAAATGTACAACTGTCTGATATTTTCAGTTTAAAA